AACCCGAACAAATAGGCTTTAATAAGCTAAACAATAGGGGTACATGAGAAAATGTGTTCATAACGAACGAAAATAAATAAATAGTTAAAGTGTGTCCATGCCAGTTTCAAACCCTGGTCTCCCACTCTCTGGTCCAACACTCTACCCATTGCCCTATTGGAGGATTGTAGTTAAATGAGCTGCATATTGCACAACAACTACAACCGTGATGGCTTTTTATACTGAGGAGGTGGAGCCTCACCCGGGGGGTTGCTAGGTAAGGGGCTGAACGCAGGTTCTGGTGGGTTGTCGTACGGCTTGTGACATCACAAAATGACGGAAGTATAAAACTTGTCGTTAGTATACATTAAAAATAAATTTGCTTACAGTAAATATGCCCCTGGGTGCATTTTTTTGGTCCTAGGACTGTTTATTTAAGAAGTACATACCCAAAGTTGAGTTAAAAAAAACCTTTAAAAAGTGAATTTTGCATAATAGGTCCCCTTTAACTCACACGCTCACACAGAACCGTATGTGGATTTGTGTTTTAATGACTGAATAGTGTTGAACAAAACATTAAAACAAACATTCTAATATACAGTATTTCATTTTCTAGCTCGTAAGGGCAGCCTTTGTTTTTTGTCGTTTACATCAGTATGTGGTTTCTTTAACTTTCCTGCAGTACATGGTAATCCTGTTCATTGTTTTCCTCTTCCAATTTGGAGTTTCATGTTCTTGTTTGGCCATGAACCAAAGACAGCAGGTGAGTAAATGCTGTGCTTGATTTACATTATAAAGAAAACTATCTTTTTATGGATGGATCCTGGAAATATTGTTTCTTTTTATGTATTTGTGTTTTTTTATTACCAGGTGGTGCTTCTGAACTCAACCTGGAGGATAATGGAGAACAATACCAAGATAGACCTGGAGAACCAGCTGAACTGCTGTGGGCTGTTTAACAACAGCGGCAGCACCTCAATATATGAGGCCGATTTGCAAAATTGTACTGCTGTAAGTCTTAAATGTCATCCTTTTCTTTGTTGAATAAAATAGTTTTATTTAATTTTTTATGGCAATAAAGATACACAGCACTGATTTTAGAGTGAAACCATGACATTTCGGCTTCGCTTCGGCTGTTTGTTTCAGCTTGTTGGTTCCAGTTCTCAGAGTGGAGGTTTTCTAAAACCTCCAGTATCAGTGTGAAATCAGGCRTGTGCACTGTAAACGGCTGCAGTCAATAGTTTTTCTGCACGAGTAGTTGAACAACAGTAACGTTGGTGGATAGCAGAGTTGTTAATGCTGCTCCCCCTTTTCACCGTCCRGATAAACATTCACGTTTCACCATCTTAGATGGAACTGTTATTACTCTCAAAGCTGCGTTGTTGAAATCTAAGCACCAGGGGCCTCATGTACAAAGACTTGTGTGGATTTCTTACTGAAACCTGACGTACGGTCAAATCCAGAAAACTCTGTACGCACAAAAAAATCCAGTTGTATCAAACTGTGCGTACGCCTGAATCTAAACACATTTCTTTGGTACATCACAATTAACGTGGAACTGAGTGCAGGTGAGACACCTCCCCTGACACGCCTTCGTTAACATTTGTTAAACAGATGCAAATTACTTCCTGCATGTGTGAAGGACACGTTTGAGTGATCCCTGCGCGATCAGAAATGATTTCTAATGTCATAAAAATAATGAATTTAATATAATGTGAGCATGAAAAAATATCCTAAGTAAAAATAGGAATAAAATATGTTTATCACGCAAAGAACGAGCGATTGTGTGCATGCTGCTGTGTTGCGCATCCGGCTCATCCATCCGTTCTGAGTCTGAAAATATTAACTTTGCGCACGAGTTTATTACCATAATTACTGTAAACACAGAGGAACATAAATGTTTGGTAGAACATAGATCTTAGTTTATTTCATAGCTGATATGAAGAAACGAGTCTCTGCATCTCAGTAGAGTTCACACGACGTGACGTGATGTTGGAGAGTCTCCACAAACGCTGCGCACACCGCAGCCTTTGTGCGCAGTCAGTTTGTCTGTCAAGCTTTTGCTCTCCTACTTACAGCATTTTCACAAGTTATAACGTGTATTTCCACGTGTCATTTTGGAGAAATCTACAACAACGTAAACGCTAAGTATGAAACATCACCGCCGGCRAAGGTGCGCGCGCTCCAGAGCTTGACCATAACTCAGCCATTAGAATTATATGGATGAGACGATTCCATTGAGCATGATTCAGCTTTGGGTGGACTGGACTRATACAGTCCTGATGGGTCTGCCAGCTCCCTCTGGATAGCTCCTGTGGAACCCCAGTTCAATCGCTGCTGCTGCACGTTCATGCATGGCGCACGTGGCTACTCGCTGCGTCATGCTCCCAGAGCGCAGCAGTGCCAAACTGAAAAATGATTTTTCCTCAAAACAGCTGATGAGCCACTCGTCATCAGAAAAATCTATCTGTTTATAAATAAAAGCTCTGCGTGTTACACTATTTATAATATCCTCCCGTAAGGCTGAATCCGTTCCTTTCAAAGGTATTTTTGGAACAACTTTGTGCATCCTTTATTTAACTGCATCCATGTGGATGTAATAATTGTTAATCATGTGGATGTAATAATTGTTAATCATGTTTGTCTGGTGTGAACAATAATCATTTTCACATCATGAACAGTTTCTCAGAATCACCTCTGTCGCCAATGGAACCAGAACATGTGACATCAGCCCTGGAGTTGGCGTGGGGCTGCGCACATTTCCACGTTCAGTTGAGTTTTGATACATCAGGAGTTTTGCGTGGATAATGACGTACGCAAGGTTTTTGTGCGTACGCATCGTTGATACATGAGGCCCCAGCTCATGACCTGATATGGAAACTACTGCAGATCTGAAGAGCACAGCTGTTCTAATGCAAACATTTGTTTATTTTAATTTTTTAGCCACAGTCAACATTGGAAAAACCCCAGTGTTTCCAGAGCTTGTTTATGTGTATACGGGGCCTAATCCAGACTTACATGATGAGCTGTTGACTCATTCTGCTGAAAACTGATTGCCTGGTGTTATTTTAATATTTTTCTACCTCTGTGTGTGTMTCACTCCAGAGCTGCAAAAAGGAAAGTAAGTGTTTACCCTGCGGGGATAAGATGCTGCATCACGCAACAGAGGCCCTAAAGATTCTCGGGGGCGTTGGTCTCTTCTTCAGCTTCTCAGAGGTAAGAGTTCCTTTCCCAAACACACACCTCTGTGATTACACATTGTTTTCACTACAGTATGGATTCACACAGTTTGATGTGTATGATTTTATTAATAATAACATAATATTAGTAATATATTATTAAACCAGTTTTGCTGTAGCAGTCTGATAATCTGTATAGGTATAGGACTATTTGATTTTATTTAGAGCCCTTCAAAACCATTTAAAAATAGAACAGTGCTGTACAGTGCAATWTAAAAATGAATTTTAAGAGGATTTAAAAGTAGCTAAGTAGGATGCCTGTGTAATGTGCAAAGGCATTTTCTTCCACCATTTTGGCCCCACCATCCCAAAAGCCCAGTCCTTTCTGAGCATAGTCCCAGTTCTTGTTCCAGTCAGGAGCTGCTGATCGGCAGAACATGGAGAACGAGCAGGTAYGTAAGGATGCAGCAGCTCAGAAAGATAAGGAGGGGCATCACATTTCAAAATAGATCCTTAACATAGAAACTTTCAGGCATAACAGAATTTAAAAAAAAGTTTTCCACACTGCATTATTAAAGTTTAGGGCTGAAACTAATGATTTTTTTTTTATAATTGATTCATCGGTTGATTATTTTTCTGATTAATCAATGAATTAGAAAAAAAAAATTACTTTTTCCAAAATTGAACATTTGGACTGACAGCAAATTGCTCAAAATACAGGTTATCGACCAAAGTGCGAATACGTCTAATAGGGCTGGGTAAAAAAATCGATTTAATTGATTTTGGATCGATTTAATTAAAATTTGGGAAAATCGATTGACAGGGCGTGAGATCGATTCTTCCCTATAGCGTTTTGTGCGTGTCTGAAGCACGTTTCTATATTTTGTCACTCCTGGCTTGCCATATTTTAACATCCAATTGATGTTCATTCAGTGCTAACGTTATCTTTCAATAACAAGTTGTCTGGAGCAAACCAAAATAAAACTAAGGAATCACTCACATTATCAGCCGATTCTCAGCAGAACTTAAAGATAACAGAGACCATGACAACTTTTATTGAACGTAGCAACAGAAGCTAAAAGAAACATTACAAATAATTTCCATACACTCAAAAGTAGTGGGCAGAAGTATATTTAAATTAGCCTACCTCTTCTCCTGCAAACCTTATTCCAACACTTCTTATTTATCAAGAAAATTATTAATTTCTTAAAAATGAATGCATCCAACAACACTGTCACCTGCAGTTCCTTTTTAATTTAAAACCTTTTAAGCTTCTGACAGTTTTCTTTCAAGATTAAAGTGTTTAATATAAAAGTTTCTCCTTAAAATATGTTGTTTATGGTGAAGAGAAAAAATAGTGGTACTGTATTTTGCAACACAGTTGAACCATTTCATTATTTAAAAGCGGATCGAATCGAATCMTRATTAATCGATTCAGAACCTTATGAATCRAAATCAAATCGATGTAGACAATTGGCCATGATACCCAGCCCTAACATCCAACATTGACCAAAGTGTGTCCAAACACTGTTTCAATGAAGCAGCAGTTTGCATGTCTGTCAGACATCTTGTTCTTGTCTCTGTTCTGAGCTGCTTTACCTCTCCTTTTACTTTCCTCAACATGACACTACTGACATGAAATAAGCTCATTTTTAATCTCAGAATGGTTCATGTCCACATGGTGATTTAGCCCCACCCCTCAATCTGTTTCTTGTTGTTCTTCTCTGTCAGATCCTGGGAGTGTGGCTCGCCGTGCGCTACAGAAACCAGAAGGATCCACGAGCCAACCCAAGTGCTTTCCTATAGTCTGCCCCTCATCACAGGAAAAAAAAGGCAGTTTTCAACACACTGGTACACACAAAATAACACATCAAGAGGCAGACACTCAGGCATAAAAATACAGTCACGCCAACACTGAATGATGATCGTGCTCMGCAACACTGAGAAACAAAATGAACAACTTCACTGGAGGCTAAGAAACCCCGAGCACCTGTTCAGACCTGGAAACTCGTGTATGAAAGGACGACTCGTAACACTGACAGGTTTTACTGGTCCCGCCTTGATTTGAGTCCCAGATTTCTCGATTCCAGCCTGTTGACTTCCTCCTGAAAGATTTCTGCATGTGTTCTGCACCCGCACACACAGTCTCATTCCACACACCAACAAAGCAACTGTACACACATCAACTCGTATGCACCTTGATTTTCCCTTCGTTTCTAGTGTAGTGGTGCCGCGCTAACACCTGCCGCGCTCACCTGACCAGTGCTGTCTGTGGTTTGTGCCCAAACATCTCCAGTGTGGTGAGGAGAAGCTAAGCGCCGTCTTGAAATGTGGTGTAAAGTAGTTTTTGAGCTTTTAGTTCCTCACACATCATGTCGTGTTTAGGGTTTAGGAAGTTGATTTTAGATCATAGTGAATTGGTTTTGAATATTTGTGAACTGTAACTGAGCCAGCTAACTCACAGTCAGCAACATTCAGACGCCACAGACTGCAGCTTTGATGTTGTACAGAATTTAATTTAAACCATCGGAGCTCAGACGTCACTTCCCTCATGTTTTTCGTCATCCACACTTCCTGTGTTTTGTTCTTCTGTGAGGCACGGCAGCGGTGTGGAGTTCAGATCCTGGAGTCTGGTACTATTTGTTACCGCTTGTGGAACTGGAAGAAATCTCAATGAAACATTTTGTCTTGTTTTAGAAAATTWAAAAAAAAAACGAGTCTGAAATCCTGATCATTTTTTTAATGTGTTAATTGTGAAAATGTGCTTCTTGATGCAACTCTTCTATTTTAAATATTTCTGAAAGCAGTGACTCATTTGTGCAGTTTTTGTGTTTTTAGCTTTCATCAGTGTTAAATGCTTTGTATATTATGCTTGTGGAATATTTTCAGAATCTATTTAAGTTTGCACATTGAGCTGATGTAGTTTTGATGATGAAACATTTCATGTTAAATAATTGCTCAGTCTGTTTTTTTTTCTTATGAAGTGCTTTTTAATTTAAGGACTAACATATGATGTAATGAAATGTCTTGAACCTGTCATCTTTGCTGATGTGAGTTTCATGCTGCTGGTTTGGAGTTCTCGTTGGTGTAAATGAAACATTTGGACAGTTCTTATGCCATATTATGACATATTCACTTTGAATTGGTGTGCACTTGTTATTGAAATGTATCTTAAACTTTTGAGACTTAATTTTTCCAAATAATAAAATTTGAAATTGCAATTTCTCTGAGTTGTTTTTGAATATGAACATTGACATTTTGCACATTTAGAAATGTTTGGCTTTGCTGAATAAAATGTTTTATTTAAAGTTTACAGTCAAACAGTCACAGACACTGCTCCTGTAGCAAAAATAGGACAAAATACAGTGAACCCCTCAGAAAGGGCTTAAAGACCTTTCAGTGAAGCAAAAAGTAACTGCATTGGTCTAAAAATAAAAGTATATTAAAGTTGCCCTGAAGTGTCCTTTTAAAGGATAATTAGTGTAAAAACAAGCAGGACTCCACTGACCTGTTTATGGCATGATTCAAAATCCTAGATTTTCCTAATTTCTTGGTCAAATTAGACAAAGATGGTATTTTAAAGATGAGTAATTGTAGATTTATACAAAATCAGAAAATATTTAACATTTATAACGGTTAAAATCAAAGTTAATTGATGAGATAGCAGCAGGTCCAAATTTAGGCATCRTAAATCCATCAGTTACCATCAAATACAAGGGTTGGACAATGAAACTGAAACACCTGTCATTTTAGTGAGGGAGGTTTCAGGGCTAAATTGGACCAGCCTGGTGGCCAGTCTTCATTATTTGCACATTGCACCAGTAAGAGCAGAGTGTGAAGGTTCAATTAGCAGGGTAAGAACACTGTTTTACTCAAAAATATTGCAATGCACACAACATTATGTGTGACATTCCAGAGTTCAAAAGAGGACAAACTGTTGGTGCACGTCTTGCTGGTGCATCTGTGACCAAGACAGCAAGTCTTTGTGATGTATCAAGAG